TTAGTTCACTATAAATAATAAAGTGATCTCAGTTATATCCATAATAAGTCTATATTACTTACAACGACGACAACATCTAGATCTGGAGGAAGTCTCTTATGTGAGAGATGGACGAAAAGTTGTACGTGTAAGTTTTTATTGTTATTTATTAATCTTACTATATTTGGGATTCTACTGAGATAAACGTATTTTGATGAAGACTACAGGATTATCTTTACTGATTACAGGATGTTAACAGCGATTTTGTCTACAGGTAGTTGCAGTTGATGTTTACTTTGTCTGTTGTTGAAGACTTGTCGGTCTGTTGTGAAGTGTGCCCATATAAATTTATTCTTGACTTAACTTGAAGTAAATCACGGCCTTTGGCAGTGTAGAAAAAAGGTTAGTTGTTTGCAGTTCTGCTACGAGTGATAGCTATGTATTCTCAGTCTTCATACTTTACGGATGCTTTTTCCTCAGGGCTTATAGGCAGGATAAGCCTTCCCTTTCAGGATGCAGTTAACGACACCGCAAGTCATGGGTGACAAGGTCATTCACTAATGACAAACTCATGATGGCCAGGAGATCATCCGAAAGAAACTAGCTGAGCTAAAGACAATGTGGTCTACTTACTTGCAGCACCATTATGAAGAAAAAAGGTGATTTTGTTTTACTCATTTGAAGTCTTTATCTCTCTCGCCCCCCCTCGCTTGCGCACACTCCCTCTGTCTCCTTTTCTTTCTTGCTCCTTCCTCTTCCCATTCTTCTTCTATATGTTTGAAGGAAATCCACCTTTCAGATGATCTAAAACATGGCCCAGAGATTTTCATACATGGAATGAATCTGTGTTGCTGGCGTGCATTATCTATTTACCTTACTGTTGTGTCAGGTGGCTTAGAGCAGGGCTCTGCCTACTAGTGGCAGGATCAGTGGTCAACAACAAACAAGGTATCTGACTTGGATTAGGCAAACATGGAGACAGAGACTCATGACCTTCGCTAAGGATGGGCTTTGACCTTGAGGAGATCGATATGGCACTTGCGATGAAGCAGATGGTATTGATATCACATTATTATGAATTCATATCGGTTTTGTTCTTACTCAAATCAGTTATGGCATGAATAAGAACGCACCACAACAAAATTTGGGCAGAAAATATATGAAATTCGCTCAGATAGCATGCTTTCCTACCCATTTACTTGACCCACATTTCAACAAGTCTGAAGGAAATAAGTAATTTTCTTTCAGCGTTGCGTTGCGACGATATTTACTTGCAAATCAGCACCTTGCTGGTAAGCTTCTAACCGTTGACATCCTGGCAATTTTACAGAGCCTGCCAGGAGCGTTGTGGTACAGCCAGATGGTATGACTTCCCTGCAAGCCCAAGGCCGCTGAGTTGCCTCAGACAGACAGCTGACTTCACTGCTGTCGTCGGCGCGCGTACGCCAACAGTTGTGCGCAGACCGCAGAGCAGCTGTTCAATGCAGCGCAGCAACGGCACTTCTGAGGCACACAGCAGTACAGCAGGGTTGCAAGCAAGCTGACTCCAGCTGGCGCGCATGTAGGGCAAGGCCGCCGTGACGCAGCTGTTGACATCGTGCGACACCGCACAGACAGCTGGCAGACAGAGATCTTCTCGAACACGCCAGGTTTTTCAGGTTTGTACGAGTTCCTGGAACTGTGCACTGATTCCTCGCGTTACCCTGAAAACCACGCCAACAGAGTTAGCGGTATTGATTTTTATGGTTCGTAGGAGTCCCATTGATGAAATGCTGAATTAAGTCAGTTCTCATATGTTCTATACGTACATCGTCAGTGTGTTGTATTATTATGACTTCACAGGAACTCACAGAGAAGATTCGTAGATGGCCAATGCCAGCTTAGATGTTGTTAAGTCTGAGAGTGAGACGCTGGCACCCAGCGACGACAGGAGAAGGGACGGACAGTCTTCGGCCGATGACATCAACCGTTTCGAGGCAGGGCTTGAGCGATTATCGCTTCAGCCTGGCTCCGTACCGCCGAGTCGAACCTGCAGTCTGGCCTCGACGACGTGGATGCAGATTACATTGAGGGTGCGATTGGCCTTTACTGCATGGCTGCTGCACGACGACATGTACCATTGATCAGGCCCCGCGTGAAATGCAGTCGCCCACCTCAGCAGCATAGGGAAGCTTACATCTTGGAGAAGTTTCAAGGGTAAGGGCACATTGTGCTATAGTAAGTTGGTCGTCTTTATGACTGTGTAAACTATGGTATCATTACCACTTAACAAGCTAATGTGTGTATTGAAAGCGGAGTTTCCAATTACTGACTAGGAATATTAAGATTTTTATAGCCTTAAATTATGACATCGGACACTGTATGCTATCCTGCTTTTCCATGACCAATAATAAAAATGAACTATTAATATTAATTAATTACATAATAATAATTATGCATATCGATAATAAAGCGTGAAATAATTTCATTGCCTGTAAATCTTACATGGTACTTCAGCAGGTACGTGGCTGAGCCATGGCAAAGATGCTGACAACGGTATAGAAGACATCGTCCGCAAGCTGCAGACCTCCGCTGTTCTGACCCTGCAGTGGCCACTTACCCGTAGCCCAGCTCACGGGCAATCCTACGACACCCTCGTCTCCATGACAGACCGACGTGGTGTGCCTCGTGGAGAGGCACTACTAAGGAACAGTGTTGTGTACGAGAGAGCTACACTTACTGCGTGAGTTGCTGCACACATGCGCAAGATGAACTGGACACTGGGCGAAATCTGCCGCTACAGAGCTGCCATTGAGCCAAAGCTGAGCTGCCTGAAGGTAGACCACAACTCGTATATATATATATAGCTACCACGAATGATAGTGCTGCATGTTGATGGCGCACATTTGAAGAAAATTTCTAGCTTAGTACAGGACGTTAATTTGCCAAGTCGCATTGGTTGCCGCTACCATATAACACCTTATTAAGGTTCCTAAGGCATCTCCTTTCAGCCATGTAGATTGTATTACAGTACTGTTAGACGTAAGTCAAGGTACAACAAATATATCACAACTAGATGGTGAGGAACTGTCAAAAACATGTGAGCTAATACAGCATAAAAATCGTATCTGTTAATTATTACTTGGCATCACTTCACATCCAAACAATACCAAATTGATTTATTAATTTCATATGCGGTAATGGATTCCCGGCCGGTGCCGATTGCTGTATATTCTGATTCCATTGTTGTGCTTGCACCACCACAGGAGCTTCAGAAGACGATGTCTGAGGGCAACAGTAGGGTGAAGCAGGCAGCCAAGATGTGTGACACTGTGACGCCTCACACCAGCACGGATGGTGCGCAGACAATGTACTCCAACCTCGAACACCTCGCGCTCAGCTGCGGCAAACTTACGACTGACGTCCTGAAAGCCATCGTGAGTCTTCGCATCTAGAATGTAGATGGCACCATGGGTCACCACAAGGTCGCCATGTACTACTCAAGGAGATTATTTTACTTGGCGAGAATAACAAGGAAAGTTATGCCATGCAGTTAGTAACGTGAATGGGTGTGCTGTCTATAATGTAGTCAAACTGCCTGATTACCTAATGTCGCATTGTTTACAGCAACAGAACATGATGCATCTGCCTCGTATCACATTGTAGTTGCGTTTGGAGACACAGGAGCTTGAGTGGAAGAAGGTGGATGTCAGCATCTCCCAGCTGAAGACGTGGGTCAGTGACACACAAGCCAAGTTGGATAAGATGGACAACCTTGAGCCTGACTTGATCAGCAAGCAAACTCATCTCGATAAGTGCAAGGTATCATGTCTACTTCATCTAATCCGTCATGTTACGGGTGACCAAAAAGTATCCTGATTGCATAATTTACCATCTCCCGCCACATTAGTTCCATCCAGTTGCTTATGCAAACACAGAAACACACTCAAAATTCCATTGTGCTTGTTCACGGGTATTTTATGAACAGCTATATGTCTATGTTGAAGTACTAAGCATGCATCTGATGGGTTATCCTCTTCATTGGTAGCAATTCATGTTGTTTAAGAATATGCACAGGGTACATCATAAGCTTACATGCTCAGGGCGAATCGGGTACATAATATAAAGGTGTCTTATTCAGGAATGTTTTACACATTCGAGTTGCTATCGTTCCATCTATCCTATCCTGTATTGCAGAAGACATGAAGCGTGGAGGCGTAAGATGCCTAATTGCTATCAGCGTTTTTAATTGTTCTAATGAGTTCTTGCGCTTACTGTCGCAGGCTGTTGCTGAGGATTTGCAGGACCATGAGGTGATGTTCAACCAGCTTGTCAGCATGTCTCTACAGCTGGCCAAGAAGTGGTCGGACGAAGGTCAGCTGACCGCTGTATCAGAGCTGGACGGTCAGTACAGACACCTGGTCAACCGCACACAGGTGAGTGGAGAGTCAGGCGTGTTATGGCGGTGGGTAGCAATTGTGAGAAGGTGGCGCCATCTTACATAAACTTTATTTATTAACATGTGCTAATCCACCTTTAAGCTTGGGTATGGCTGTGCCTATGGAGTTTTACTATTTTCTTGTTTGCACTCGTCTTGAAGGCGTTAGCTGAACATCATTGAGAGTGGGTTAATTCAGGCATGCCATTGTTAAGATTTAGCTTGGGTATGGCTGTGTCACTCTCACATTACAAAGTGCAGATCACGTTACGGCTGCGAAATATGCAGGGAACGGTTTTGGCGTAGAACATGATTGTGCTTGTTGGTCTGCTTATAGAGGAGTGCCTGGCTCTGTGATCAGGAACGTTCCACCGAGTGTTACTGTATTCTTGCTTACACTCGTCTCTAAAATATCAACTGAGATGCATCATTGGGAGTGGGTTAATTCCTGTGGATTGGGAGGTATCCAGTCTCCAGTTTAGACTCTTGTTGGCCGACGCGCATGTTGCATTGTTGGCAGGCCCTTGTTGAAACGTGGGAAGTGTACGTTGTGGAACACGAGCAGTTCGGAGATTCCTACAGCGACACCGTAGACTGGCTCTCACTTGCTAAGTCACAGTATCAGTCCTGCAGTGACACAACTGGCTCCAAAGAGGCCTCCGCAGAGCGGCGCCTGTCTTTACAGGTACGTAGCTGTAAAGCCACAGTTTGTACCATTTAGTGCTGGTGCTGTTCTTTGGTCATCTTTGGCTTATAAGTCAGAGGAGACTTATGCTGATTTATATTTGGTAAGTGGCAGCACAAAATCATGTACCATGATCCATATGAACAATTTAGGTTCCTACAATAAGGTACTAGTTTCATAATATTACGGCATGTATACTATTAGGTGCTACTAAATTCGTAATTGCAGTACCTTAACCTACAAATAATGTAACCATTAAAATAAAGTAAGAAGAAGAAAGAGAAATTACTGCCGCTGCACGTACAATTCTTGTTCAAACAAGTCGCAATTCGCTTGTGAATCATCGCATTCTGGTCAGCAAACAAAATGGCCGATGCGTCGGTAATCTGGCGGTCACTGTTCTGCAGGAGCTGATCAACAGGCGCGGCATTGGCGAGGTCAAGGTCGTCGAGGCGACCTCTCTCAGCGTCTCCACGCTCGAGCACACGTCGTGCGCCGGCCACGCTGAGATCCTGCGCAACATGGCCGACCTGCAGGCTGCGTGGGATCTGCTGCACGGCTCGCTCGCCGACTGCCGCGCGCTGCTAGACGATTGCCTCGTCGCCTGGGAGCTGTACGAGGTCGTGCGCGTCGAGTTCTCTGATTGGCTGATCGCCATCGAGGAGGAGCTTCAGGGCTACGAGGATCGGCCGCTGCCTCTGGGAGAGGCCGTCGCAAGACTAGCGGTACCGACCCGCCTACTTACATGCACACCAGCTCGTGAATGCACACACACACGCGTGTACATGCACACATGCACGCACAGATGCATGTACACGTGTACGTGCACACACACGCACACATGCATGCATGTACTCAGACGCACATGTACACATCCATTCAGATATAAATTTACACATGCACACACACGTGCACACGTGCACGCATGCATGCACGAACGCACGCACGCACGCACGCACGCACACACACATGAACACACCCATTCACATGTGAATTCACACATCCACATGCACACGCGCGGGCACTCACATGCACACATACATGAACACACACACACACACGCACGGACACAGATGGACACGCACATGCACATATTCAGATATATATATATATATATATATCAAGAGCTAATAATACCCTAAGAGCTAAATATAATAATCAAGAGCTAATAATCAAGAGCTAATAATACCAAGGTATTATTAGCTCTTGATATATATATATAATGCAATTATTCTTGTAGTCCAAGTATGCCATCTAGATCTCCCTCTTACAATTATATTTCTGTGTTAGGATCTGGTCACCGAGTGGAAATACAAGAAAGTGAGCAGAGACCAGCTGCGAGAGGCCAGCGATCATCTCCTGGAAACGTTTAACTGTGACTGCACACCTCGGCTAGAGGTGGCACTGCTCAACGATCGATATCTTGTCCTCAATGAATATTTACAGGTAAAGTTTGCTCGACTAATATTAAGACGGACTCCATATTGTTGAAAAAGCAGAACGAGAGCGTGTACAATTGTTATTAATGTAATAAAACTGTCATTTACTAACATAATTGTAACGAGATGTGTTAATTAATAGGCAAGTCACTGTCGCATTTTACCATAGCTTTTATTTACTCACAAAACCAGAAAGACTGATAAATTAGTAACATAGATAGATCGCTGTAGCAAGCTGGCATATTACGTGTGTATAACGTAGATAAACAGATGTTCATTTCGACATCAATACCTCTTTTAACTAACAAATTGATATAACATCATTTTAAAGTCTTACTCAATGCATAACATACATTTACACTATAGATGTGTGTGCTGTATTATTGTGGTCGTGGCCTAGCAATGTAACAGTGATGTTGACTCTTGAGCTCTTATCCAAGTACTAACCAAATCCCACCAGAGGTTACACAAGTAGTCACAGTGTTCCCACTATACCAGCCCTTCGTGGGTGCAGAATTATGTGCACTCGTGCTACGGACGACTCGGCTGCTTTTGCTCCATTGTTCCTACTTGCAAAACCGTGTGCTCACAGTGACAGACAATAAAAGGTGCACAACGTAGGAATTGATATCATGAGTTGCTGTGACACTTCATCGTGAGTCGGAAAGGTACGGCACGTTGAAACGACCAAGCTAACTGTTCCACATTTTTATGTGAGAGTGTTCGCTTGAGTAAGTGAAGACCGGCCAGACTGTGACAGAGAGTGACAGCCAATAGCCACATCCGCTCGGCACTTATTGGAACGGCGTGCATCGTGATACAATATGGCTGCGTTTGCAACCAGCTATGAAAACTTCTTTTCAAAGCGATTCTCTGGTGTCTGAGACAGTCAGCATATGTTCACAAACGCTCTGATCTGCCTGACATGTTGCTGTCGGCAAAAGGCAGTGAATGGATTCTAATATTTTGCTTTCGTTTCAGCGAAACTGGTGCTGGTAACGGTCTGTAATTTTTCTGCACTGTGAGCACATTGGCACTGCAAGAGGTTCCGTTTGGTAGTCGTACAGTAAGCCCTCTCCTATCACGGGTTTTCTATCTGCGAAATTCGAGTACTTTTGGTTTACTTAATTTAGATTCCATTTCTCCAGCTGTGGCATAGCTTTTGAGTATCTACTATTTTACTACCGTATAAGTTATAGACATTTTTCTTGAGATTCGTCTCAGGCATGTTGCATCAAACCATCACATGAATTTCCTGTGCATACTATGCTTGTTTCTTATGTTCATCGAACTGCTTTGTTCACTGACCATTCTCCCATGTTTGCCAGAGCCTGCATGTCTGAGTTAATCATGAATTTGCTGATTCCCAAAAGGCAAAACATTAACGCACGCATTGTTCATTCTTGCTACCTGGCTGCGTGCTCTTATACAATGCTTGTTTATTCAT